TGTTGTTTGTGGCAATTGTAAAGGGTGATGTTTCTCTGATTTCTCTTTCAGCCCTTTTATCATCTGTATATAGTAGGGCTACTGATTTTCTTGAGTTGATCTTGTAGCCTGCCACTTTGCTGAAGGTGTTAATCAGCTGTAAGAGTTCCCTGGTAGAGTTCTTTGGGTCATTGATGTAAACTATCATATCGTCTGCAAACAGTGAAAGTTTGACCTCTTCCTTCCCAATTTGTATCCCCTTGATCCCCCTTTGTTGTCGTATGGTAATAGCTAGAACTTCAAGTACAATGTTGAAAAGGTATGGAGAGAGTGGACAGCCTTGTTTTGTTCCTGATTTTAGAGGAATTGCGTTGAGTTTCTGTCCATTTAGTTTGATGTTGGCTGTTGGTTTACTGTATATAGCTTTTATTATGTTTAAGTATGTCCCTGTTATCCCAGATCTCTCCAAGACCTTTATCATGAAGGGGTGTTGGATTTTGTCAAAGGCTTTTTCAGTATCTAGTGAGATGATCATGTGATTTTTGTTTTTCATTTCTGATTTTGTTAATTTGCGTGTTCACTCTCTGCTGTTTGGTAAGTTTGGACAAAGGTTTGTCTATCTTGTTGATTTTCTCAAAGAACCAACTCTTCGTTGCATTGATTCTTTGTATTGTTTTCCTGGTTTCTACTTTATTGATTTCAGCCCTCAATTTGATTATTTCCTGGCATCTACTCCTCCTGGGGGAGTTTGCTTCTTTGTGACTAGAGCTTTCAGCTGTGATGTTAATTCTCTGGTATAACTGTTCTCCTGTTTCTTCATGTGAGCACTTAGTGCTATGAACTTCCCCCGTAGCACTGCTTTCAAAGTGTCCCATAGGTTTGGGTATGTTGTGTCTTCATTCTCATTGAATTCGAGGAAGTCTTTAATTTCTTTTTTTATTTCCTCTTTGACCCAGGGATGGTGCAGTTGAGCATTATTCAATTTCCATGAGTTTGTAGGTTTTCTGCAATTTGTGTTGTTGTTGAATTCTAATTTTAAAGCATGGTGGTCTGATAAGATGCATGGAGTTATTCCAATTTTTTTGTATTGCTTGAATCTAGTTTTGTCATGGAATATCTTGTTTTCTCCGTCTATAGTGATTGAGAGCTTTGCCCGGTATAGTAGTCTGGGCTGGCATCCATGATCTCTTAGTGTAGGTAGATTATCTATCCAGGACCTTCTGGCTTTCAGAGTTTCCATGGAGAAATCAGGTGTAATTCTGATAGGTCTGCCTTTATATGTTACTTGACCTTTTTCCTTAGCTGCTCTTAATATTCTTTCTTTATTCTGTATGTTTGGGGTCTTGATTATTATGTGGCAAGGGGATTTTTTTTGTGGTCCACTCTATTTGGTGTTCTATAGGCTTCTTGTACCTTCATTGGCATGTCTTTCTTAAGGTTGCCTTCTGCCCCTTTGAGGTGGATTTCTTCTCCTTCTTCTATACCTATTATTCTTAGGTTTGGTCTTTTCATGGTGTCCCATATTTCCTGGATGTTTTGTGTTAAGGATTTGTTGTATTTAAGGTTTTCTTTGGTTGATAAATCCATTTCTCCTAGTGTATCTTCAACACTTGAGGTTCTCTCTTCCATCTCTTCTATTCTGTTGGTAATGCTTGTATTGGTAGTGCCTGACTGTTTGTCCAGCTTTTCTATTTTCTGCCTTTCTTCAGATTGTGGTTTTTTTATGTCTCTATTTCAGTTTTCAACCCTTGCAGTGTTTGCATTGCTTCTTGCAATTTTCTGTTTATCTTTTCGTCCATTTGTTCCCTTTTATGAATTTTTTGGTTTGTTCTTTCTTCCATTTCTTGCATTTTTTGGATTGCTTTTTGTTCCATTTCTCGAATTTTGTGCTTTGTTTCTTCTTCCATTTCCTGCCTTTTTTGGTTTGTTTCTTCTTCCATTTTTTTCATTTTTTGCTTTGTTTTTTCTACCATTTCTTGCATTTTTTGCTTTGTTTCTTCTTCCATTTCCTGCCTTTTTTGGTATGCTTCTTCTTCCAATTCTTGCATTTTTTGCTTTGTTTTTTCTTCCATTTCTTGCATTTTTTGCTTCGTTTCTTCTTCCATTTCCTGCCTTTTTTGGTTTGTTTTTTCTTCCAATTCTTGCATTTTTTGGTTTTTTTTCTCTTCCATTTCTTGCATTTTTTGCTTTGTTTTTTCTTCCATTTCTTTGAGGGATTTTCCTATATCCTCTTTTAGGACCTCTATCATTTTCATGAAAGTGCCTTTAAGGTCGTTCTCTTCTGCTTCATTCGCATTGGTATGTTGGGGTCTTGCTGGTGTGGAGTCTCTAGAATCTGGCGGTGTCATATTTGTTTTTCTGTTGCTGAGTGTGCTTTTGTATTGTCTCTTTCCCATCTCTTCTTCTAGTGGATGCAGAAAGAGCCCCTTACTGGTCTGGGGACCAGAGTTCCCTTTTGGTGGGTGCTAGCAAGTCCAATAATCTGGTGGTTCTTCTATTCCTTGTCCAAATGCTGGTCCCGTGGGTGGGGAAGAAGAACAGGAATCTGGGGCGCTTAGCCTCCTACCTGGTCCCCTGGACCCTATGCTGGGTCCTGTTGTACCTGATCCGGAACAGCTACTCCCCTGGTCTCCCTGGCTCCTCTGGTTTCCTGGTCTCGTTGGCGGGAGAGAAGATCTGGAGTCCGGGGTGCTTGGCTCCTGCTGGGATTGGGAGCACTGTGCAGTTCCCAGGCGATCTGCAGGTACTGGAACACAGGCCAGGAAGCCGGCCTGTTTACCTGATGCTGCTGCAGGAACAGCTGCTTCCCTGGGCTCCCAGCCTCCTCTGGTTTCCTGGTCTCGTTGGTGTGAGCGAAGATCCGGAGTCTGGGGTGCTTGGCTCCTGCCGGGATTGGGAGCTCTGTGCAGTTCCCAGGCAATCTGCAGGCACTGGAACACAGGCTGGGAAGCTGGCCTGTTTACCTGATGCTGCTGCAGGAACAGCTGCTTCCCTGGACTCTCAGCCTCCTCTGGTTTCCTGGTCTCCTTGGTGGGAGAGAAGACCTGGAGTCTGGTGTCCTTGGCTCCCGCCGGGATTGGGAGCTCTGTGCAGTTCCCAGGTAATCTGCAGGCCCTGGAACACAGGCCGGGAAGCCGGCCTGTTTACCTGATGCTGCCAGAGGAACAGCTGCTTCCCTGGACTCCCCTTGACTCATATTTTTAAACACATTTTATGAAATGGGTACAAGTTGTATTCCGTTCTTTTGCAGGAAGTAAGAGACATTGGAGTGGGAATTGTTAAATAACTATGCTGGAAGTAGTGACCCTTGTCACTGTGTATCAGCATGGTTACCAAAGCAGGACTAAAGAGCTGGCAGGATGTCTTTAGCTTTTTTTTTTTTTAATAGATGACTGGGAAAGAAGTGCAGGTGTCTGTCCTGGGACAGAGCAGAGCTCAAAGTTCAGAGTGCCACACATGTGCTGAGGCGAGAATATGCTCAGCTATGTTACTGACAATATGAAATGTCTTTTCTCTCATTGCGACTAGACACATTCTCCGTCTCACCAAGTAATTAAGTTTTGCTAGTCCTACCGTTGTTCCAAACTGTAAAAACCTTAACAGATAAATTTGATAGAAAAAAAAGACCCTTGACTATTTCCATGAAGTATGATTATGTAGAGATGTGAAGGGGTAATATATGAATTATTGTACCATTAATTTTCCAGTTCAGGATAAATGTAGGCTGTCTTCCTAGCTTTGGGGATGTTTTGCTTTCTGCTTTCTCTGTTCTGAGTTATTCATAGAGCCAATGTCTTTTACATAATGTTCTTATTTTCTGTGTATAACAGCTGGGATTGTTGAAATAAACCTAAGACCCATCTGAAGATAAAGTTTTCTTGGAGTAAGTTATATAAAAGTCTTTCTCTGTGTTACTGTGAGCCTTTGGATGGACTTTTTCTGTTACTCCACTCTAGTATAAAGACATTTCTTTCACTTAATTGCAACTGGTAACATGTTTCCCAATGTATATTATGCCATTAAAATGAAAGACACAACCGTACAATATTAACAGTTTCCCATTGAACCAGTGCCGACGTAAGCAATAGGGAATTACAGAGTATGAAGCATAGAAAAGATAAAATTGTTCAGTAATTATTATTTTTCATTTACTATATAATGGCATACAGTCATTTTCTCTAGGGTAAAGCTGGTTATATTTACAAATATTTGGGTACTCTATTGGATGATTTTCACTACGTATATCCATCTCATATAGGTATATATTAGGGCCATGTGAATCATGTCAAACATGTGCTCTTAGGTTATTTTGACAATTCACAAAATGTACCAAAACAATGGATATAAAATATTTAAACGTTAAATATATTGCTATTTTCTTTTTGCATAAAATTGTCTTTTCACATAGACTGCATAAACAAAATGCCGTGACTGGGCCAAGGAGTACATGATTTATCAGATGCGATGAAACATGAAAGGGCAGATTTTTCAAGATGACAGCAGAGCATGGAGCCTTTCTGAACACAGAGCCTTGTACTAATGCACAGGTCACAGACCCACAAAGCTGACCTTCCTGTAACATGCTTGCTGCTCTGTTCAGAAACGTCTGACACAAAGTGCAATCTGACTTACCTGGCAAAATCAAGAGCAGGAAATCCCTGTGACTTTGTACCATCCCATTCCATAAGAGAATGTGGAAGTCAACATCTCAAGCTAATGGTTGCAATTACTTGTCTTTTTGTTTAATACAGTTTTCTTAATAGAAGTGTGAACAGAATGCATGTGCTTGGTAAGAAATCAATAGGTCTTTAGAAGTAAAATTTGCATGTTGTCTTACACACATATTATATATCCAGGTAAGTTTATATCCAACTACATGATGTCTGGGGAACATTGAGCCAATGTTCTCTGACACGGTGTGCTGATTTGGATTTTAAGAGCACAGAAAGTCTTTTTTCCCTGTGAACTAAGACTGAAGATAGCACACATGTTTGATTTTTATACTCAAATTTGTCTTTTAGGGATGCAAGTCTTGGAATGGAATGGGATCCCTTTAACTTCTAAAACATATGAGGAAGTACAGAGCATCATTAATCAGCAAAGTGGGGAAGCAGAAATATGTGTAAGACTGTGACTTTTTCCCCATCTTTCTGTTTCCATTTTTTGGCTCTCCATGTCTCTTTTGATTTAAAAGTGTTAAGGTGGAACCTTTGCCAGTCAGCAAGAGACAGGACTCCAGCAACTATTTCTGATGTGCCACAGCTCTCCCTTTCATACTTTTATTAAAATGTGTTCCATTTAAAAGAAGGCCAGAACCCAATGTGTGCAATATTTTCAAGTGGCTTGCATTTAATCCATAAAGATTTCACCTTAAATGATCATTTTTATCAGCTTTGACTTTTAACAACATTGCTAATATGAACTGGGTTAGCAGGGTGAGCATGCCTGGGAGCGGCTTTATATCATATACCACTTCTCATTGACCTCCTGAAAAGGAAATCAAGGCAGGCGGGAGAAGGGAGCTTTGGTTTCCAGATTCCTCTGTGTCTTTCTTAATAATCTGCTTTAATTTATAGGGACCTCAATATGTTGTCTGATTGTGAAAATCCCCAGCACCTGGAACTTCACGAGCCACCTAAAGCTGGTAGGTGACAGCAGTCTGACTTCAAACATGGGTGCAAAGGGAGATACATCTTCTTTGACATAGATACAGAAAGAATGACGGATTTATATACATGCATGTGATCATGAATGACACCAAAAGTGTTTTAGTTATGTTATTAGCATTCTGCGGAAACATGCTGCATATTTCAGTGTTAGAGTAGGCAAGAAATCTGTATTAAATATGTACTATATGAGTTCATGTTTTAAGTTTGTTAAATATGAATTCATCTTGTGTAGGCAATGCATGGAGCCATTTCATTTTAATCATAAAATTGCTATTTTTTTCTTTTTCAGCACAACTAGGCCTTTTGCTGTTGGTATTACAGTTACTCTAGGAAGTCTTGGTTACTAAATTCAACCAGTCAGGTCCAACAGAAAGTGTTATATATATATATATATATATATATATATATATATATATATATATATACTCTGAGATTTCTTGCATAAAGAGAATATTTTGGAAGATTTAGAAGAGAGAAAAGATATTTTCATAGAAGCAAGTTCTTGGGGATAGAGTATGCTGTCATTCCCAGAGTACATGCCATAAAATATTCAAAGCATTTTTCTGAAGACTTAATAGAACTTCAGACTACTCTTGTGATTCATCATTATAGCATTCCTTCTAGATTTCTCTGAAAATACATACATTGAATAAACGTAGTTTTGAAAGTTTAGCTGAATCTTTCAACAAAGTTGTGTCATCAGCTAGGACTCCAACAAGTGCCACAGTACGAACCCAGGACATAAAGCCTTTTGTTTTGTTCTAGTGGACAAGGCAAAATCCCCAGGGGTTGATCCCAAGCAGTTGGCTGCAGAGCTGCAGAAAGTCTCACTCCAGCAATCACCACTGTTCACGTCGTCAGTCGTGGAGAAAGGCTCTCATGCCCACTCAGGTCCTACATCAGCAGGGTCCAGTTCTGTTCCCAGCCCTGGGCAGCCAGGGTCACCATCAGTGAGCAAGAAGAAGCATGCCAGCAGCAAGGTGAGATGTGCCCCATGTCACTGCAAGTGGCCAATTCTGGCTGCTCGGTCTGGAAAACAGGTAGATGGGGCAGGAAATGACATTCTGAAGAGTTTTCTTGTGATGGGTCATGTCCTAAGGATCTAATGAAACAAATATTTCTCTCTTCTTACTTCTAGCTGGTCCAGATACATATTCTGCTAGATTTTTTTCTCAGTAAAAAAATACAAAGATGGAGAAATAATGTAGGACACAAGGAAATAAAGAACAACACTGACATATGATCACCTATCTGAATTTTATTCTTTTCCGGCTCAAGGGTGGTTCTTCACGCGCATGTCTTTACTTGAAACAAACACTTCCAGTGCGATTTCCTCAAAGTTGCTGGGGAATAAAAGTGGACATTGCACTAGCGCTTCAACCTGCCAAAAGTAGACTACAGTACAATGTAATTTTGGTGACATGTTATTCTCCTATTTAAGAGATATTCCTGGATGTCCACTGTGCCATCCGTCCTAGGGCCCTATCCTACTCATTCTAAAAAAAGCTAGAAATAACACAGGTTTTCTCGCTTAGAAATTATACTAGACATAATGTTATTATATGTGCCCTGGTATGCTTGTGATCAATATTGCATTTATGAGGGTTTCAACTCTGGCTTAAACTCCACAACCACTTGCCCATGATCATTCACTTTTAAGAGTCATGCCAGAGTATAAAGATGGAAAAATACCCTCCTCTTGGGAGATGTCATTCTGTAAATATGTGTCTGATTGGTTTGAATAAAGCACTGTTGGCCAGTAGAGAAGCAAGATAGGTGGGACTAGGAGTTAAGGAAGATTCTGGGAAAGGTAGTGAAGAGAGTCGTCACCATGTGATCACAGGAAGAGGACGCATGAGGCTGCATATTTGGAAAGATAAGTCCTTATAAAAATATACATTAGTAATTATGGGTTAATAATTAAGTCAGAGCTAGCCAATTAGAAACCATAGCAAACAGCCAACAGCTGCATTATTAATATAGTGTCCTGTGTGTTATTTGGGTGCTAAAGTGGCCACAGGAGCCAGGCAGGAATCCCACAGCACCCTCCCTCTCATTCCAAGGAGACCAGTGGTTCTAAAGTGTGCTTCAGCAGATTTGGCACAGCACCATACGGGAATGTGTGAGAACTGAGCTTTTAACACAGCCTAGACCATTTCAGACGCTGTGAATGGTGCTCTTTAAGGTTGAGCATCGCTGGTACAATTACAAACGCTGGTGCTCTGCCAGGTGGAGCCGGTGAAGTAGAGTGAGGACAGTGGGGGCTAAGACCACTGAGGAGAAAGGAAGGAAGGAAGGAAGGAGACGTTCCAAGAGAGAACACAGAGTGAAAGGAGTTTTGGAGAGAAAATTACATGTCTGGAGGATAGGTGTTTGCAGGTGTAAATATCCCATAGAAGCAGGTGGTTGCGAATTGGAAAGCAAGAAGGGTTGTACGAGGCCTTCCCACTACAGTCTGTAGGAATGCAGAGCTGGCGATGAGCTTGAGGTAAGGATACTGAGTAATAAGACACTTCCTCCATGAAGTCATCACATTAGATTTTCTCTGAAATTACAAATCTCTCCTTGTTCTTTTCCCTCCTTCTGTTTTTTTTTCTTTTCTCCCTCCTACCTCCATTTTTCCTCCCTGCCCCCTGGACTCCCAGCCTGCCTGCCTGCCTGCCTGCTATCATCCCTTCTTCTATCCCAAGTTGCTCTCTGTGTCTCTTAAAACAATCTGTCAATTGACTGCAGTTGTCAGGTTTGTGTTTTATTTGTCTTTGTTGGCTACAAGCACCATCAAACATAAGGACCACTTTTACTCCCCCCAACCACATATTATAGTTGAGTGGCTTGCACAGAACAGTAACAAAAATATTTATGGATCAAAATGTCAGTGATCACCTGTGAACCTCTGTTCTTGTTATGGATATGGATTTACAATTTTACCTTACTGTAATATGTTAGCTTTGGGGACCATGATTTAGAAGATGAAAACCCTTGAAGTAGGATAGCATTAGAAAGTGTTATCGGTAGCTAGTATAACATGCAGCCTTTAATTTGTAAATAATTTGGGTCTGTGATATTTGACTGTAATACATAGTTTTAGTGTCCTGCTGTCCAAAGACTAACTGCTAATTCCACGAGGCTGGTCTCAGCTGACATCTATGTATATGTAAATTGCAGGCCAAATTCCAGTGACTTTGTGTTAAAAAAAAAAGACTGAAATACCTCAACACAATGTCTAATATGCTAACAAGATGAAGTGACAATATTTAGGATAAATATAAATATATTATAATGTTTTCTGATTGTTTTCAGTGTGATTACTAGAAATTTTTTATTACTTCTGTGACTCATACATATACACCATTGGCTATCTTTAGTTCAGAGATTATTAACTCTCAGAAGTGACAATAATCAAATCTGTTTATTTTGGACGTGTGTGTGTGTGTGTGTGTGTGTGTGTGTGTGTGTGTGTGTGTGTATTTTAAGTGAAAATGTAATGGTTTATCTTAGGCGAGAACCTACTACCTATGCATCTTTTGTTTATTTTTTTACTTATTTTTAGCAGGTACCAATTGCTAAATAATATAGTTTACGTTATCATTTGTTTCCTGTTTCCTATAAGCTAAAAGCATAGAGTTTTCTGAAGCTTTCAAAACCTAATGCCAGGCAACAGCAAGGCCAAACATGCCACATGTTAAGCTAATATACAGAATCAGGTTTTTAAATCCTTTATATCTGTCAGCATAAAACTAAATTAAATATTAAATTACTTAAAATACCCTAATATATTATATATAGCATAAAATATACTAATAACATGAAATTACAACTAAATTGCGTAAGACAATATGCTATATCTAAATATTTAAATTGTAATTAATATCAGCATATATTTAGATGTTTATCTATTGAACATTTTATTAGATGCTTCTATTGAACATTTTATTAGATGCTTTTGATTAAATATTTACATGTTTTAGATTATTATTACTTTGTGATTTTGTTTCATCATTTCCTTTCAATACATTTTGATTGCTTTTTTATTTATTTTGTGTGGTGGGAGTAGGCATGTGCACGCCATACTGCATGTGTGGAGGTCAGAGCTATCAAATTGAGCATGGAGTCCCACTCTTGTCAGGCCAGGTTACAAGCCCGTTTACACACTGAACCATCTTCCTGGTACTTTGGCAATCTTTTTATTCTAGTATATACTGGGATGGTCTTCTCAGAGTAGTTAGTATATTAATCATATGTAATTGTTACCATTCATTCATATTGGGCACATTCAACATCTATTCTTCTAAATGTTTTAGGTGAATACTACATTATTGTTTATCAATAGAACTCTAGATCATATTCTTAGCTAACTGCCTCCTCCTCTTCCCTTTACCTCCTCTCTGATAAATTACCACTCTGGTCTCTATTTCTGAAAAATTGAGTTTAGTTTCCACATGATAGTAAGTCATGTAGTACTTGTCTTTCTGCACTTGGATTGTTTTTTTTAATTCATCGTCTTACAGACAACATAATTTTATCTCAATAGAATGCCATCAAGTGTACATCACATATATATTGCAGTTTTATTAATTAATTAACTTTTTACATTTATTTTGCATCCCAACTTTCCCCTTCCTCCTCTTCTCCCCTCTCCCCATCTACTCTTCCTCTATCTCTGTTCAGAAAGGGGAAGACCTCCCATAGCTTCAACAAATTATGACACATCAAGTTAAGGCAGGACCAAGCTCCAAACCCAGGAGAAACTAGGTGCCAGGGAGACTCCTAGGAGTTCACAAGGATGACCTCAGCCAAGACTCCTAGAAATAGTGGAGAGGGTACCAGAAATGGTGATCTACTGTAATCAGATCAGTGAATACCCTAATTGTCATCAGAGAGCCTTCATCCAGTAACTGATGGAAGTAGATGCAGAGATCCACACCCAAGCCCTGGGCTGAGCTCCGGGAGTCCTGTTGAAGAGAGGGAGGACAGATTTTTTTTATTTATTTAAATTAGAAACAAGGTTGCTTCGCATGTCAATCCCACTTCCCTCTCCCTCCTCTCCTACCCCGCCCCCTACCAACCCCACAGACCCCCCCCACTCAGTCCCCACTCAGTTCCCCAAGGAGGGTGAGGCCCTCAATGGGGGATATCCAGAATCTGTCATTTCGTTCAGGGCAGGGCCTAGGCGAGGGAGGAGGGATTTTAAGACTGCTATGGTGTCACATTTTCTTAATTTTTATCCATTCATCAGTTGACTGGTGAAATAGATGTGGGCATGCAAAGGCCTCCACAAATACGGGTCTCATTTCCTTTAGATGTGTGGTCAGGAATGGATTTCTGGAGCCTATTCACTGTTTGAGAATCAATCATGCTGTTTTAAAAATGTCTGTGCTAATTTGCAGCCCCACCGACAGTGCTCAAGGGCTCTCTTTTCACCTTGACCCTTCTAGTGCATTTCATCTTTGTATTAATAACCATTTCTTTGTAATGTATGTAGGTTTGATCTCCATGTTTGCTCTGACTGGGGTGCTGGGAATTTATTTATAGACCTGATCAATTGGTATATTTTTTTAGATATATCTACTAAGGACTATAGTCCATTTTTTATAGTTATTTGGTTTCTAGTATTGAGGGTTTGAAGCTCCTTAAATATTGAGGAAATTAATTGTCAGATCTATTTTACAGAAGTTCTCTGTTCTGGGAGGGTGTGTCCATATGTGTTTGTTTCCTTAGCTAGGCAGAAGTTTGTAAATTTGATTTATTCCATTTGTCAATTATATAGCTTTCACTGTTAACTTGGGGTCACATATAAGTCTTTCCCCAGGCCACTGTTGAGCATTTTCTCAATATATTTTTATTTAAATTAGAAACATGCTTGCTCACATGTTGATCACAGCTCCCTCTCCCACCCCTCCTCCTTTGCCCCTCTACCAGCCTCCCCAACCCCCCACCTAATCCCCACACCATTCCCCAGGGAGGGTGATGACCTCCATGGAGAATCTCCAGAGTCTGTCACTTCATCTGGGGCAGAGCCTAGGCCCTCCCCCATGTGTCTAGGCTGAGAGAGGTTCCCTCCATATGGAATGGGATCCCAAAGTGGATTTGTATGCCTGGGATAAATACTGATCTACTACCAAAGGCCCCAAGATTACCAAGTCCTCCTCACTGACACCACATTCGAGGGGGTGTTGGATCAATCCCATGCTGGCCTCTCAGTCATCAGTCTGGGGCCCAACAGCTCCCCCTTGTCAAGTCTGCTGTCTCTGTTGGTTTCACCAGCACAGTCTTGACCCCTTGGATCATCACTCCTCCCTCTCTGTCACTGAGTTCCCTGAGTTCAGTTCAGTGTTTAGCTTTGGGCATCTGCTTCTGCTTCCATCAGTTACTGGATGAAAGTTCTATGATGGCATATAAGGTTATCATTAATCTCATTATCAGGGAGGGGCATTTAAGGTGGTCTCTCCACTATTGCTTGGTTTGCCAGTTGGTGTCATCCTTGTAGATCTCTGGAAATCTCACTAGGGCCAGATCTCTCCTCAAACCTATAATGACTCCCTTTATTAGAGTGTCTCTCATCCTGGTCTCCTCCATTCTTCCCCCGACTCAACCTTACTGCTCCCCCATATCTTCCTCTCCTCTTCTTCCCCTCTCTTTTTCCCAGGTTCCCTCTCCCCTCCCCCCATGCTCCCAATCTGCTCATGAGATCTTGCTTCATTCCCAACTTAAGGGTATTTGCTTGAGGAAGCCCCAGTTGATTTTTCAGTGTACACACATGTCTAGACATTTGCATGGAACCTTTTTCACTGTTTTGTTTCCTCATTTTATTAACTTAAAATGGAATATGCACTAAATAAATATGATTGCTTAGTAGCAGGGAGTTAACCCTTTGAAACCCCAGTGTAGTTTCAATGTTAGTAGATGGCATAAATTATAAGTGAGCTGAAGTATTAAAATATGTGGATCTAAGTACCTCTAACTCCTTGACCTCACCAGTGGTTTTAATAATTTTATTATTGGGTTAAAATATTTGAAACAGAGCAATTTTTACTATGCTCATTCTGGTACAAAGTTATATTTAAAAAGTAACTGAACAAGTATATGAAGGTACTATAATGATTATTTCAGTTTTTCATTCAATTACTAAAACAACTCGTACAAGTGGATAGGCTTTGATGCATAAGGTGGTTTTCATTCTACATTACTGATATGTTACCTAATGTTCTATCATAGACTTGGACTCAGAGATAAAACCTCTACTTATTGCTGCCTTGATGGTGGGGGGGGGGCAGTTCCACAGTGCTCAAAGGGAAATGCACAGAGTCAGCAAGTATTAAACTTTTCTATCTGAGGGTCTAGGGAAATAAGGCACTCACACACTCTCTCTCTAGATAGTTTCTTTCTTTATTTTCCTGTTCTTCTGTTTTCTTTCTACTGTATACTCTTTGTACAACTTCAATAGCCCAACAAAGTTTTTCAGTCAATGTAGGAGTTACAATGTGGTTACATTCTATTTTTCAAGTGATTACAATGAATTCAGGTAAAAACATGTTTTACATCTCCCTTACATGATTAAACATTTTATGTATTATAGGCAGAAGACAAATTATCCCAAGAACCCATATACATTCATAGCCAAGCAACTTGTTATAGATTAACTGCATAGGCAAGCAAGATTTTTTCCAATTAGGTCTTTTACTGGCAGACTGTGTTTTGCAGTTACAAAAAAGGGCCAATTACTTTAATACTAATCTTGAAAGATAATCTTACGAGGAAATTTAAAGTAATCACAAACCTAAACTTTATATATGAAAAACAATCAGTCAGTCCTACTTTAAACCTTTAGGGTGCATACCCAATCAGAAATAGTCATATTGAAGTCAGGAATGGGTACAAAGAATTAATCATCACCTTTGATCATCAACCAATCCTAGCAAGGAAAGTAGGTCACCTAGTAACAATTGGGCTGCTTTGTATTTTTTTACCTCAGCTATGTGTCCTTCTGACTTTAAATTGTTTTCTAGAGTTTTTCATCTCAAAGATATTATCAAAATATCTGAATCTAACCTTAAGTTATTTTAAGGCTTTGTTTCAACTAGTGATGCACTCCAAAACCTGTGAACATACCTCCCAACATTAAGATTAGTTGAATTTAAACTAGCTGGTCTATTGGGACTCAGTTGTTTTTCTTAATCATTAACTTAAGCCACAATCTACATGGCTCCTCAATAGAAAGTCTTGTGTTCTACCTGCGTGACACTTCCTTGTTTATATTTTTATCATCAAAAGTCTATTTAAATTAACACTATTACTAATTAGACAGTACAACGTAAGAGCAAACGATCAGTTGTAGAGAGGGAGGAATGATGAGCAAAGGGGTCAATTCCATGCTGTGAAAACCCACAGAAACAGCTGACCTGAGCAAGTGGGAACTCATGAGTCCCAATCTGACAGCTGGGGAACCAGCATAGGACAGAACCAGGCCCCCTCACATGGATATCAATTGGTAGACCTGGGCAGTCTATGGGGTCTCAGGCAGTGGAACCTAGTGCACGAATGCATTTTGGGAGCCCATTCCCCATGGAGGGATACTCTCTCAGCCTAGATACGTGGGGAGGGCCCAGGTCCTGTCCCACACGATGTGACAGACTTTGATGATCCCCCGTGGGAGGCCTGATGCTCCCTAGAAAGTGGATGAGGGCTGGTGGGGGTCACAGAAGAACAGGAGGGAGAGGGAAGTGGAATTTGTATGTAAGATAAGATTGCTTTTCATTTAAATAAAAATTTATTTAAAAAGAAATGATCTGCACAGATATCCACAGGTAAAAATGCCCAGCAGCATGGGATATATCCATGAAATAAACACACTGCATTACAAGCAAGGGGAATCTCCCCAAAACCATTCACACCATGCCAGATACCAGAGTAAGAGAGCTGCAGCAAACATGTAAAGGCACAGCAGAAACAATGGACATTCCAGGGTCTGTGGTCTCAGGGCCTTGTCTATCCAGGATTCATCCACCAGGCACTTTCCTCTTGGTGGGCTGACACCTTGAACTTCAATTGCCACCTGCTCCTACTCTTACACGGGCACTGGCATCTACTTATGTATAAAAATAAGAAGGAACTATAACAAGTTCATAAACAAGCATTTATTCATCAGCATGAATTAGTTCACAAAATCACTTCCTTTAGATTTACTTATTCATTTATTTAGAGGCAGTGTTTCCTTGTGTAGCATTGGCTGGCCTGGAACTTGCTATCTAGACCAGGCTGGCCATGAACTCACAGTGATCCACTAACCTCTGCTTCCTGGCTTCTGGAATTTAAGGTGTATGCCACAACCTCTGACACCTGGATTACTTTCTGAACTGCTTGAAAACTCTGTTTGCCTAAGGAGTTATGAGGAAGACAAAAATTTATCTGAGAAGATAAATTTTAGTTCAAGGTGGTCTGTTCATAGGAAAATGTTTCTCGGGCGCTTCACTGTACTGGTGAGCTCCAACTTGACCGCCTTTGTAGCTCCTATGCTCCTACACAGTCTTATGCAAACACTGTTTCATTACTAAGTAGCTCTTTAAAACCTCTAGGTGCTCTAGAAAAATGTTTTAAACTTAAAGTATTCATTTTGTAAGTAATTGAGAATACTGCTGATACAATAATCATAACTTCCATACCAGTCTTTCAAAATGAAAAATAGATCTATGTATCTATAAACTTAAACAAGTATGAAAATTGCAAGTAGATGCTATAAGTCTTAAGCAACCAAATGGATAAATGTATTTTGTAGGCAGTGTACTATAGCCAGTTGAAGTTAATTCCAAAAAACAGTTGAAATGAGAACACCTATGAATATTTTATTTATTAATGTAATATGTGGTCTTTAATATTTCAGCCTACTGATGCAACAAAGGTTGCCTCACATCCAATTACAGGAGAAATACAGGTATGAAAACTTTTTAATATCATCATTCTATCATATTTTCTGTTTTTATTATTTGTCTATTTGAATTTCTAACAGCCTATTTGGACCTTTCGCATTCTATAACATATAAAAATTGGATATGGAAACACAATGTTACACCATAATGTGTGTGTGTGTGTGTGTGTGTGTGTGTGTGTGTATGTGTGTAGAAACTAGTCATAGCTTTGAAGTGCAGACTTCAAAATCCTCAGTCAGTAGGTCCTGAGCTTAGTGTGTACTTGTTGAACGTTTCACATACAACTTCTTCCAAAAGCCAGAAGGCCCATCTTCAAGCTTCATAAATCCAGTGATATCTTTTGTTAAATCATTGGTTTCTAATTATTTATAAACAACTATCATAGGGAATTTTTCATATAATAACTTTGTAATTCATAAGGTAAATACTTTGACTGGAAAAATATAATAAAAAGTACAAAATTTCCTACTTTAGTTCTGCATATTATTCTATATTTGTATATTGTATTATTATGAATTATATATTATTTGGAGCCACAGTAACATGTTTTAAAAACTTGGCGTTAGGTAATATCAAGAATTAATTCTCGGTAGATGAGAAATGTCACATAGAAATTAACACAGTACAAATTAGCTATCAGAGGACAACAAGGTTCCAATAAGGAAAAACAAGTGTGTCTCCAACATAGTGTAAAGAAGATTCTCACAAAGGACTTCACAGGGCAGCAAAGATAGGAATGAGTGTTTCAATAAACATAGAGGAGGGGAAATTTGTCACTGGAAACAGTAATACACAGAAACTGTTGCATTCAGAGTTGAGCAATGATGGACTCAGCTTTGAGTGGCTGACCAAGTTCCAGAAAGAACCTTGGCTGCAAGCAGAAGAGTATTATCCCTCACACGATACCGTGCAGTATTACATGTTATAGAGTGAGAGGCTCACGTTGTAGGGACCCCAACCATAAAATTATCGTTGTTGCTACTGCATAACTGCATATTTGCTGTGATGAATAGTAATGTAAATATTTTGGGAGATAAAGGTTTGTCAAAGGAATTGCACCCCACAGGTTGAGAACCACCAGGTTGGAACATCCTGAACGTTGGTGATTCGGTTAGTTCTCCTGTGTGGCACAGCTTATACCATGCACACGTACAGTAGCAATCATGAAGGTGCGGGCACTGAAGCCCTGTGTGTGAGGGTGGACCAGATCTCCCATGCTCACACTGTCTGACCCCTGAGCTTCTCCGAGGTCTTTGGGAACAAATGGGTAAAGTTTTGAAAAACAGTCTCTCAAGGAGGCCTGCCGGTTTCTAAGTCAGTGAGAAATAGATAAAGCACAACGTCACTTGAAAGTGAGCTCTAGAGAAAGCAAAGTGTGGATTGTTGACTTTTGTGTTTCTGTATCCTGTCACAGCACACAGTTCTAAAATCCCTGTCTTTGTTCCCTCAGGATACGTTCCTTTGTTATTCACACATTTTTCATGGTCATAAGAAATGCCGAGGCTCTTTCCCTGTGGAAGTGTGCAATTAAAAAATTAAAAAACTGTGCCAAAATGATGATGTACATTAATTCTGAAATTTTAAGCAAAAATCTGACCCATTTCAGTTACTCCATTTTCAGTTTAAGTACACTGAATCATTTTTATGAATTATTTTAAAATATTAGTGTTTTTACACATAAGTTTCTTCTTCAAAATACAGTTCTTTTCATTTCTATTAATTGGAAAACTTAAAGAAAATTAAAACTCAATCTATATGATGTCAGAAGAATCTTTCAATGATAAAAGAGAAAACTATTGAGCTTGATCATTTTAGATTATGACAGTTTTTTTGTAAATCATGTTCTTCAAGGACAATATGAACATCCATTAAGCGTCTTAGAGATAGAAGTCATTCATCCCTCTTCAGCTTAAGTTTGTATCATCTCAGTCTCTTTCTTCATAGCAAGTGTCTCAGAAAGAGTAACTACAAGCGTAATTAGAAAAAGTGAAATCTAGTTTTTATTTAATTTTTACATCTCAGTATTGATAGATTCTACTCCACATAACCCTTCTTCTCACCACTCATTGATGAAATGTATTTTACAATATACTTCCAAGTTATTTATTTTATTTTCAAAATGCTAGTAACTGCAAAAATCAATGTAATTGGGGTATATTCTTTTACTATGAATAAATTTTAATTATGAAAATATAATAAATATATACTATATTATTTTCCTGCTAAATGAACTTTAACTAGGCCAAGACTCTTCACTGTGCAGAGTCTTGTAAACATGAATATTATGTTTATTAGAAATGCAGACATGTCTATGAGCTTCCAGTTAAACTTGGCATTAACTGTTCAATTTCAAATACAATTGAATTGAAGTAGGTAACTTCCTATAAAGTGTTGAAAAGCTAGCAAAGTATGCAATGATAATGTTTCACACATCTTTTTATCTTTTCATTGAATTGTTTCTATACCCTAAAGCTTCAAATCAACTATGATCTTGGAAATCTTATAATACATATTCTTCAAGCAAGAAATCTTGTCCCTAGAGACAACAATGGCTACTCCGACCCTTTTGTTAAGGTGTACCTACTTCCGGGCCGAGGGTAAGTAACGAGGCACTGTCTTCTAAGTGTCACAGCCCACAGTCTAAACAATCCTAAGAGAATCTTCCATTCTTTAATTTCCAGTCCCATCCTGAATTATCCTTTCCCTGTACTTAGTTTGTTTCGTGTCATATTTATTTTTGAATTAAAATTTTAAAGAAAGTCCTTAAGAGTTCTGAGAGAGCAGTGGTTAGAATAAAATCAGTCTCCCTGGGCACAAGCAGCAATTCTGATTGTGGGAACCATTCTTGTGCTTTGTGATCAGATTAATTCTAAAAACATGTAAGAAATTGTGGCAGATTTAAAGAACCGACTTACATCCCTATATCCACTTCTAAAATCAACCTTTGTTTACTTTCTTTTTATACAGTATGTGTCACTAATGACTTTGTATGAAACCTTGTTTATAGACACATTTCCAAATCACTGTTTTAAAAATAGTAGCAAATAGTAACATTTGAAGTAATTATTTTGCTATATAAATAAAAGATATCTCATTGAATCTTTTGCAGGATGTGTACATTGTTGATATAAAGTAAATGTTATGGACGTGCGGCCTAACTCCATGGCAGCACTTGTGTTTAACATACCTGAATATGTCAGTCCCCAGCCCCAAATAAAAATACTAGTGAAGGATTCTATGTTCTTTGGAGATGCATAATAATTGATCGCATTATTAATACTAATAGCTATGTTATGGTGTATGAACAAGTACTTGAGAATTGTTTAGAACAGAGATTTCACATCCAGAAACCACTGTACCTTATCTAAGTTACCTGTATTAGCCAAATTAATGTGGTGGAACCATGAACAGTTATCAGATGGAGGTGCATTGAAAAGCTTCATCAGCTGATGGCAACATTGGTTTCATTTTGGTTTAATTTGGGAGTGACATTTGAGTGTTGATTTTTGCTTGGAAATTTTTAAGTATAGCACAGAAGCGGAAAGCATAGTATAGTGACTGACCATCCTTTATCTGCAAAAGCTTTTACTTACTGGCCAGTTAGATTTCACATTGCTCTTTTTTTTTCATTTACTCTTACACAGTTCCTACATCCAGATCATTTTAAAGAAATTCCAGCAATTAACTCTTTTTGCAAATATTTCAGTATGTATATTTAAGTGATAGTTCATTTTAAATTCACAAATAATTCTTTAGTTTCCTCAGTAATGTCTCATAATACTTTTAGTTGGCTTGAGAACCACACTAGTGTTTATAGAACATGCTACTATCAGCAGCAAATGCTTTTAAATACTTGTCAGATGTTCCACAGAAATACATTGTGTGCGGCAAAGCCTCAACAGACTTAAAAGCAGCCACATTATACGAATGTGTGTTCTGGCCGTGATTAAGTTGTCTGAAAAGTAGTCATATTAGAGTTACATGCACACCACTGTTCATGTGCCAAGTCACCACAGGCAGATCCCCAATTTCTTTGATATTCAGGTTCCTTGTCAATATTAACACAACACAATCATAATTTTTAATTTATCAGTGAAAACAAGTCATATAATTCAGGGAGACTAAATCCCAGTGTACCTGTTCTAACTCCCTACAGCTACCCCAGTAATTCCATTTAGACAGTTAAAATTGCTTGTGTGGTTGGTCTAATTTTATTTTCTTAAGGATTGTTGAAATCCCCAATAACTCTTACATAGAATCAATAAAATAGCCACATAACCCAGGAAAGAGGATCTCTTATTTTATTTTAATTAACTAGTAAGTTTATATATTTGTACATACAATTTGGCCACATCTTTTAAGGAAGGTATGACAAAAATAACAACAAATAATAATAACTTTATTTTTGTTTTGGTCATGAGAACATTTGTGTTCTTTAAAGAATTAAGAAGTTATGGGAAATTTTCTTAGGGATTTTCTCTAAGTAAATTTAAACAATAC